TTCTCCTCACGCTGACACCCACGCGGCTTCTGCCGATGCATCATTGGATCCCATGCTGGGCTCTCCTACACATGTGTGTCCGCGAGGCCGTGCCTGCTTGCTGCCCACAGCACTGGATGGGCTGCTGGGGGGACCACGTAGAGGAGGTAGAGGAGGGGAGGGCGCAGTGCGGCAGCTGGTCGTCACCTCGGCTCTTTTTGACACAGCGCACCAGGTGACCTGTGTGCTTGTGTTTTGGTGGGAGGTTTCAAGAATGGTGCGGGCACCGGGTGTGGGATGGTATGCGCGGTGGACGGGGGCAGAGTTGATCGCCTTCAGTGCAGCTTCAATTGACAGTGCAATGAGTGGGTTTGGTGTAACAGGCGGTTCTGTGTGTTTTGCACTTCAATGCCCCATGATTGCCTCTAAAATTTTGTGTTTTCCATCGACGCCCCCTCATGTCCCTGATGCCACATCTTCTCCACATTTTTCCATCATCCACTAATATTCTTTAGCGGTTCGCATCTGTATCGCCATCCCCTTTATAAGCAGTTCGGGCTAATCCCTCACAGCAACTCCACCGCAGTAGCCACGGCAGAAACCACTGCAGCACCCATCACAGCTCAACACTTTGCTCGGATAGCGGAGGAGACATGTGGCATTCCCCTGCAAGCAGCCACCAGGAAGTTTCCACTGATGAACGGCCAGGATGCTCCGTACGCTTGTCTCGATGCGAGCTACCTCTTCCACCTCCTCACCTCGGGATTGGGTAAGTTATCCGTACCTCAGGTTTAGCAGATTTCCTGCTTTCTTTCTTGCCATGTCTAGTGCTTCTTGCATTGTTGCACAATGCTTTGCTTGCTATGTTGCTTGCACAATGCTTTGCTTGCTATGTTGCTTGCATGCACAATGCTTTGCTGGCAATGTTGCTTGCACAATGCTTTGCTGGCAATGTTGCTTGCACAATGCTTTGCTTGCAATGTTGCTTGGACAATGCTTCGCTTGCTATGTTGCTTGCACAATGCTTTGCTTGCTATGTTGCTTGCACAATGCTTTGCTTGCTATGTTGCTTGCACAATGCTTTGCTTGCTATGTTGCTTGCACAATGCTTTGCTTGCTATGTTGCTTGCACGATGCTTTGCTTGCTATGTTGCTTGCACGATGCTTTGCTTGCTATGTTGCTTGCACGATGCTTTGCTTGCTATGTTGCTTGCACGATGCTTTGCTTGCTTTGTTGCTTGCACGATGCTTTGCTTGCTATGTTGCTTGCACAATGCTTTGCTTGCTATGTTGCTTGCACAATGCTTTGCTTGCTATGTTGCTTGCACAATGCTTTGCTTGCTATGTTGCTTGCACAATGCTTTGCTTGCTATGTTGCTTGCACAATGCTTTGCTTGCTATGTTGCTTGCACAATGCTTTGCTTGCTATGTTGCTTGCACAATGCTTTGCTTGCTATGTTGCTTGCACAAGCTCGTTCTTGCAGTGCTTCGCATCGGAAGTCTAAAATGTTTCGACATATGTAGAGCATGCATTAGACATATGTAGAGCATGCATTGGACATCTGTAGAGCATGCATTGGACATATGTAGAGCATGCATTGGACATATGTAGAGCACGCATTGGACATATGTAGAGCATGCATTGGACATGTGTAGAGCATGCATTGGACATATGTAGAGCACGCATTGGACATATGTAGAGCATGCATTTGACATATGTAGAGCACGCATTGGACATATGTAGAGCATGCATTGGACATATGTAGAGCATGCATTGGACATATGTAGAGCATGCATTGGACATATGTAGAGGCATGCATTGGACATATGTAGAGCATGCATTGGACATATGTAGAGCATGCATTGGACATATGTAGAGCACGCATTGGACGTATGTAGAGCATGCATTTGACATATGTAGAGCATGCATTGGACATATGTAGAGCATGCATTGGACATATGTAGAGCATGCATTGGACATATGTAGAGCACGCATTGGACATATGTAGAGCATGCATTGGACATATGTAGAGCATGCATTGGACATATGTAGAGCATGCATTGGACATATGTAGAGCATGCATTGGACATATGTAGAGCACGCATTTGACATATGTAGAGCATGCATTGGACATATGTAGAGCATGCATTTGACATATGTAGAGCATGCATTGGACATATGTAGAGCATGCATTTGACATATGTAGAGCACGCATTGGACATATGTAGAGCATGCATTGGACATATGTAGAGCATGCATTGGACATATGTAGAGCACGCATTGGACATATGTAGAGCATGCATTGGACATATGTAGAGCATGCATTGGACATATGTAGAGCAGGCATTTGACATATGTAGAGCATGCATTGGACATATGTAGAGCACGCATTGGACATATGTAGAGCATGCATTGGACATATGTAGAGCATGCATTGGACATATGTAGAGCACGCATTTGACATATGTAGAGCATGCATTGGACATATGTAGAGCATGCATTGGACATATGTAGAGCATGCATTGGACATATGTAGAGCACGCATTTGATTATATGTAGAGCATGCATTGGACATATGAAGAGCATGCATTTGACATGTGTAGAGCATGCATTGGACATATGTAGAGGCATGCATTGGACATATGTAGAGCATGCATTTGACATATGTAGAGCATGCATCTGACATATGTAGAGCATGCATCTGACATATGTAGAGCATGCATCTGACATATGTAGAGCATGCATTTGACATATGTAGAGCACGCATTGGACATATGAAGAGCATGCATTTGACATGTGTAGAGCATGCATTGGACATATGTAGAGGCATGCATTGGACATATGAAGAGCATGCATTTGACATGTGTAGAGCATGCATTGGACATATGTAGAGGCATGCATCTGACATATGCAGAGCATGCATCTGACATATGTAGAGCATGCATCTGACATATGCAGAGCATGCATCTGACATATGTAGAGCATGCATCTGACATATGTAGAGCATGCATTTGACATATGTAGAGCACGCATTGGACATATGTAGAGGCATGCATTGGACATATGTAGAGCATGCATTTGACATATGTAGAGCATGCATCTGACATATGTAGAGCATGCATCTGACATATGTAGAGCATGCATCTGACATATGTAGAGCATGCATCTGACATATGTAGAGCATGCATTTGACATATGTAGAGCACGCATTGGACATATGTAGAGCATGCATTGGACATATGTAGAGCACGCATTTGACATATGTAGAGCATGCATTGGACATATGTAGAGCATGCATTGGACATATGTAGAGCATGCATTGGACATATGTAGAGCACGCATTGGACATATGTAGAGCATGCATTGGACATATGTAGAGCACGCATTGGACATATGTAGAGCATGCATTGGACATATGTAGAGCATGCATTGGACATATGTAGAGCATGCATTGGACATATGTAGAGCACGCATTGGACATATGTAGAGCATGCATTGGACATATGTAGAGCATGCATTGGACATATGTAGAGCATGCATTGGACATATGAAGAGCATGCATTTGACATGTGTAGAGCATGCATTGGACATATGTAGAGGCATGCATTGGACATATGTAGAGCATGCATTGGACATATGTAGAGCATGCATCTGACATATGTAGAGCATGCATCTGACATATGTAGAGCATGCACCGGCAGCATACTGCCCCGTTGCATCCCAATTCGTACATCCTCCCTTCTCTCCTCGCATTTCCACATCTCACTCCCCTCTCCCCATGTGCCCTTCCCAACATTCCGCCAGGCCTGGAACCCACAGATTCACTCACGCCTGTCAGCCAGCTGCCCCACAATGCCCCATCCACAAATTCAGCATGGCACTATGGTGCTGCTGTCAGCACAGCCAAGCATGCTCATGCCTACGCCGTGTTCTGATCTGAGTCGACTCACCGAGTGCCCACTGCCCACCCACCACGGCAGCATGTCATTATGGTGCTGCTCACAGCACAGCCAGGCTACCCTGTCACCTAATTGGATTTTTTTAGTGGTATGGTATTGTGCTCATTCCCTTGACTGACACGACACCCTGCTCTGTTGAGCAGCAGCCTTCATGAGGCATGCTTGGCTGGAATCAGATACGAAGGGCTTGCAGAGAAGATGCCTAGCTTACCTAAGTTGTATGTACAGATATGTACTGTACAGCAAGTACACATACAGCTGCTGATAACAGCCTTGAAATCAGGGTAGGGTTATATTCCCCCCTTTGGCCCATACCTAATTTGCAGTGTCAGCAATCATGGGCTACTAGCATTGAAAAGCAAGAACAGCTGCTCTGACTGAACCTATGGTAGGATCCACACCACACCAGCACATCTTACTTGTAAGCTTTCCCTCATACACTCCATTGTCGTTACAGGGGCGCCTCGATATGGAGCTTAAGAGCAGCTGACTCGAAAACTGAAGACTTGGACTACTGGAGGCTGGCTGGTGCCTGCAACGCACTTCTATGTGAACCCATGCACTCCCCAACGCCCGCACACTACGCCCACACACCACGCCCATACACTACGCCCATGCACTACGCCCACACACCACGCCCATACACCACGCCCACACACCACGCCCATACACCACGCCCACACACCACGCCCATACACCACGCCCACACACCACGCCCATACACCACGCCCATACACCACGCCCACACACCACGCCCATACATGGACTCTCTGCTTTCAGCTTCCAAGACCCAAAGGTCAAGAGTCAAGACCATGCCTGGAATCTCCGCTTCCAAAACCGCACTCCACACATCTCAACTCCTGCATGCTGCACAGCTGCATATGCACACCTGATGCCTCACACCTGGATCAAGTTGAAAAGACCACCCCTCACTCCTGCCGCCAGCAGATCTGAGTGCACACTTAAAAAAACACCTGAAGCCCCAAACGCCCACACCTGGACTCAGGTTGACAAGGGCACTCATCAACTCCTGCCGGCTGCAAATCTGAGTGCACACTTAACTAAACACCTGAAGCACCGAAAGCCCACACGACTGAGTAGGTGATTGCCATGGCCAGCCAGCCGCCCACAGTCGTCCTCAGTGCCGCCCGGGCCTGAGGTGCGCCGCCCAGCCACGCGCCGATCGCGCCCAAAAAGACAAAGAGCGTGGTGGATAGGCCGACGAGTACAGTGATGCGCGCCTTGTAATCTGTAATGAAGCAGCCTGAGAGGAGGGGTAGAATCCCCCCCAGAAAGAAGGAGACAGCCGAAACCATTGCTGCCTGCATAGGTGGGGGTGGGGGGGATGGGGAGACTGTTTAAGTAATGGGGGCTTAAATGAATCTGTGATTATGCAGCCTGAGAGGAGGGGGGAGATTCCTCCCAGAAAGATGGATACGGCCGAAACCAGTCCCTCCTGCAGAGGTGGACAGGGGGGTGAGGGAAGGCAGGGAAGGACTGCTTCTATGGGTCTGTAACAAATCAGTTTTTAAGAAGCAGCATTTTGTGACTAAGGGAGAGAGAGAGTGATCCAGAAAAGGATGGGATGGGCGGAAGAGGGAGGGAGGGAGGACGTTTGGAAAGGGGGGACAGGAGGCAGATGGGAGTACAAAACGAATGATGGGCTCTCATGGCCTGATTCCACCTGATTCCAATGCCATCTCCCATCCACTCCCATTGCATCCATTCCCATGCAATGACCATCCATTCCCATGCAATGACCATAGATTTCCATTCATTCATTGCCACCCAATATCCCACCCGTTGATAATTTCATCCCATTGATATCCATCCCCATCCTTTCCCGTTTATTCGCATGCATTCCGAAGCACTTCCACCCATAACCATTTGGCCGAACCTCACCTGCCCCGAATCTCACCTGCCCTGGATCTCACCTGCCCCGAATCTTACCTGCCCCGAATCTCACCTGCCCCGGATCCGACAAGTCATCCAAGTCGATGCCCAATTCCTCCCTCGCGTGTGCTCTTATCGGATCACTCTCATGCAGCGCCTCCGCCACCTGTCGCGCCAGATCGTGCGGCACACCGCGCGACACGTAGATCTGCGTCAGCTCGCGCAACTCCCGCGCCACCGCTTCGGGGCCCTTCTCAAATTCTTCCCGCTCTCTTTTTAGATCCGCCTCCTCCGAGTCGCGTTGCCCGTATACCGAAATGTACTCGCCAATAGCCATGCTGCACGCCCCCGCTATAAGCCCGGACAGCCCCGATATAACCATCATCGTTCGGGAAGTGTCTACAGCGCCGACTCCGAGCATTAAGGAGGTAATGGAGACTAGGCCGTCGTTCGACCCGAGAAGCGCGGCGCGCAGCCATGGCGAGCGGTGCGAGTAGTGAGAGTGACCTATGGTTGAATCCGCGCCGTTTCCTTGTGCGGCTGCGGAACGAGCCGCGCTTCCTTGTTCTTGCCTGCTTCCAATATCGGAGCTCGGATGACCGCCGCCGGCGCCGTCAAGTAGCGCCGGTTCTTCTGACGAGCTCGCCGTTCCGGTTTCCGGATCTTGCGGAGCAAGAAGTGGCTGCCTCATGGTTAATGGCGATATGCCACGTGTCAGATGACCACGCAGGAGACGGGATTCAGTAGTGGAGGAGCTTGGCAAGTTGGTTCGAGAGGCGCGCGAAAAAGAATCGAGCGAGCCTCGTTTGCAGAGAGCGTCGTTTGCAGTTAGCAACAAAGTGACGCATGTCCCTTGGAACTGTACCCGCTAAATTGCAATACAGAATCAGTCAATCATGTTATTCCTTGCATGATTCTTGATCTGTTGTGGCTTGTTACAGCTCCCTCTGTTGTTATGGTGGACTGGCTGTATCGCGTTTGAAACCATAATCCAACCAGCGCCGATGCAGGTAACGCCGAGTGTGCGAGAACTGTTAGGACGCGATATAAGTGCAAATATCGCAGGATCGTCTGCACATATCGATCCCCGCAATCGATTGGGCAGATCGATTGGCGAAGCGTGGCGATCGCGGCGTTGTAACGATCGCTACTGAGTTTTGACAGATCTCCCGCGATCAGTGATCAGTCGCATTCACACACTGTACAGAAAATTGGGCCAAAAAGCTTACTGTAGTATGGCTAAAGCGTAGTAGATAGGGTAACCAATCCGCACATCGATCGCGACTGACGATCGATCGCCTACTCTTACCGCGTCCTTACTCGGCGGACGTTTTCGGGAAGCCAATGTGAACGACGGAGAACCACTTCCGATTTTCTGAGTGCGGTTGCCCCTTCCCTCCAATTTTGGAGACCAAACACCATCGAGTAGCAACAGTGACCAAATGCCATTTATTGGCTTAAATAAATGGCTATTTATTCCGATTTTCTGAGTACGGCTGCCCCTTTCCTAGTGGCACTAAGTAGCACATGGCAATAAATAGCACCATGAAAGTAAGGAGAAAATGCAATCTCGTTCCATGGCGATTGCTTTCTTGATCCTTTTCCTTCCACGGTGACATTCCAAACCGACCAACGGTCGAAATCGAAACACCCCTGAGAGCTTCTACGGTGACGTTCCCGCCAAATCGTTGCGCCCCCTACCGCAGACATTGCAAGAAATTTCAGCAAGGCAGAACACATCCCCGTCAGCCATCCCTTCAGTCACCTCGCTCATCCAACCAAATGCCACAAGAACCTCGACTGCCTTCCAAAATCACCACCGACACTCACCGCGTCCTGATTTGTCGGTGTTTGTCGACTGCTTCAGATCCCTGCTTCTTTCGTCTTTGCATCATTCCTACCACGGGAGGCGGAGTCAGTATCGAATAGTCATTTGGGCTCTGCCAATAGCCCCGGTGCAACCCCGTTGACTCCTAGAGCTTCTCCAGAGCGGCGATTATGATCGACACGGAAAGCGAGTCCCGACAATCCTTCACAGCCAAGAATCACCTGATTGACCATCTTCCCGTCTATGGCAGTCTCTCAGGTGTTATGACGAATAACCTGAATCCACCGTCCCTTTTCCGCGTAAATTATTCCCATGGAAGAAACGACATGGCGTATCGGAGGTATGTCGGAAGGCAGAATGGACAAGTGCACGCTCACGCTCACGCTCACGCCTTGGAGGAGGTGCAGGACAGACAGGCCCACCCACAGGTGGTGGCCCGACCGGTGGGGGCGTTGCCCCCCAGCAGCAGCAGCCACAGCAGCACCAGCCACAGCAGGGACAGCAGCAGCAGCAGGGACAGCAGCAGCAGCAGGCACCGCAGCAGTTCCAGCAGTGGGGGCCCCCGCTGCAGTGGGGTCCGCAGCAGCACTGGGGTCCCCCGCCGCAGTGGGGTCCGGGAGGCCCTGGGAGCACCGGCCGCAGCAGCAGCTCTTCCAGCTGGGCCCCTCGCCCCCCTCGCCGTGACGCTGGCCCCTGCACCCACTGGTGCCTCACCGGGCCGGGCAGCCCCTGTCTCTGTGGTCGCGACGACCACTCTGCCGCGCGGTGCTTCCGCCGCCTCGACGACCTCTACCGGGCTCGTTGGGGCCCTCTGGCGGTCACGCCTCGCTGGTCTCGCCTGTTAGCCCGTAAGATTGATGTTTTTGATCTGTCCATGGACGATGCGCGTCAGCATGCTTTGTATGTTGATGCTGACTTTAGTGCTGATGGGTCTGTGTGCTCGCGTGTTCGTAGGTTAGCCTGCTTGCCTCCTGCTAGTGTAGCCTTGAGCCTGTCTAGCTTAGGTGCTTGTGTTGCTGCTCTAGGTGCTTGTGTAGCGACTGGGTCAGTTGACCCTCCGGCTGAGGCCTCTCTGTCGTTCACGCTGGACTCGGGCGCGTCTCAGTGCTTCTTCCGTGAACACACGACCCTTACGCCACTCCTCACCCCTGTGTCGGTGGCTTTGGCTGATCCTACCTCTGGACCAGCCGTTGCGCGTAGCTCCACCACCCTCCCGTGCCCTGTGGTCCCCTCTGGTGTCCTGCGCGGCCTCCACATCCCCTCGTTCACTCGGAACTTGGTGGGTGTTGGATACCTCCAGGACAGGGGGATCACGGTTACCTTCGTGGGGGGTGGGCGGACTGCAGTCTGTACTGACGCTACCACAGGTGCTGTTCTGGCCACTTTCACCAGGGAGCCCCGCTCCGGTCTCTACGTTCTCCACACCGAGCGCTCCCCGGTCGCGTCCTCCCCTCAGGTCGTTGCGTCCCCTCCGGCCCAGGTCCCCAGTCCAGTTGCTGTGTCTAGCCAGGTAGTCGTGTCCAGTCCGGTCACTGTGTCTAGTCCAGTCGCTGCGTCTTGCTCCTGTTGCTCTCTCGCCCACCGCACCGTTCTGTGGCACCACCGCCTTGGCCACCCGTCGATCCCTCGCCTTCGTGGCATGCTCAGTCAGGGACTTGTCACAGGTCTCCCACGCACCTTCCCGTCGCTCCCTCCCTCGCTTGCCCCTCCTTGCTCTCCGTGCGTCGCCGGTCGCTTACGCGCCACTCCCCACTCCTCCTCCCTTCGTCCGGCCACCGCTCCCTTCGAGACTCTCCACTTGGACGTCTGGGGCCCTGCCCCGACGCAGGGGTCTGGGAGAGAGCGTTACTTTCTGGTGGTCGTCGACGACTACTCCAGGTACACCACAGTGTTCCCTCTTGCGAAGAAGTCCGAGGTGACTGCTACGCTGATCAGGTGGCTTCTAGCCACTGAGGGCACTCGTGGTCGTCGAGTCAGTTGTCTTCACTCCGACTGTGGGGGCGAGTTTCGCTCCGGCATTCTCGGCGGATTCTGCGGCGAACAGGGCATCACCCAGTCCTGGACGCTGCCAGAGTCCCCACAGCAGAATGGGGTTGCTGAGCGCCGCATAGGCTTGGTCATGGACATCGCCCGTACGTCCATGATCCATGCCCGTGCGCCCCATTTTCTGTGGCCTCACGCGGTTCGCTACGCCGCACACCAGCTGAACCTCCAGCCACGTGTCTCGCGGCCCGAGGCTTCACCGACCAGTCTTTGGACTGGTTCCCCTGGTGTTGGGTCGGCCTTTCGAGTCTGGGGCTGCCTTGCACTTGTTCGCGACACCTCCGCGGACAAGCTCTCGGCACGCGCCGTCCCCTGTGTCTTCCTTGGTTTCCCAGTGGACTCTGCCGACTGGTCCTTTTACCACCCACCCCTCCACCAGTTCCTAGACTCCCGTGACGTCCGGTTTGACGAGTCTGTGTCCTACTACACCCGGTACCCCTGTCGAGGTCTCCCGGTACCCCCTCCCCCCCTGTTCCTAGCACCCTCTCCTCCTCCTGCTCCTGCTCCTCCGGTACCCCCGCCCCCCCCTGGTCCTGCCCCGTCTGGTGTGTCCCACGCTACCCCTCTACCCTCGGTCGCGCGTCAGGTAGCGTCTCCCTCCCCGCAGTCCTCCTCACAGTCCCCTCAGCAGCCTTCAGCACTTCCGCGAGAGGTTACTGTGGACTCGGTTGGTGTTGGAGCTGGAGGTGCAGCCGCTGGCGGTGCTCGGTCTGGGGTTGCTCGGTCGCGGGGTGCTGGAGCTGGAGGTGCCGGCGCAGGTGGCGCTGGCTCTGGGGGTGCTGGAGCTGGAGGTGCTGGCACTGGAGGTGCTAGTTCTGGGGGTGCTGGAGTTGGAGGTCCTGGCACTGGAGGTGCTGGTTCTGGGGGTGCTGAGTCTGAGGAGACTGACGCTGGAGACCCTGGTTCTGCGGAGTCCACTCCGCCTCCCCACCGCCACGACACGCGTCTCCAGGCTGCCCGTCGGCGTGAGCGTGAGGAGCAGGAGCGGTTGGAGAGGGAGCGGCAGGAGCTGCGGGTGCTGGACCTTCTGGAGCAGCAGCGGCAGCAGCAGCAGCAGCAGCAGCCGCAGCCGCAGCAGCAGCAGCCGCAGCCGCAGCAGCAGCAGCCGCCGTCGCCGCTGCAGCAGCAGCAGCCGCAGCCGCCACCGCAGCTTCCTCTGGAGCGGTAGTTGTTCCCACCTGTGAGTGGCCTGCGGGCCCTTGGCCTTTCCTCCTCTCCTCCTGTCCGCTCCCTGTCTCCTCCTGTGTTTGTTCCTCCGTTGCCTCCTCCTGACGACCGTCCGGCGGTCTGGTCTTCTCCTCCTCCTCGGTCTCCTCCTCACTCTGCCCGTCACGACTTGATCACTCGTTGTCCTCCGCGTGCTCGTCACTCGTCCCCTGTTACTGACCTCCACACTGCCCTCCTTTGTTCGTCCCGTCGTCGTTCTCGTTCTCCTGTGTCCGTTCTCCCGTCTCCTCCTCCGTCCTCTCTCCCAGCCCTCCCCACTCCTATAACTGACTACTACCGCACTGTTC